CCAGAGTATCCAGTCTTATTTGTAAGGTTATCTTTTGAAACTTGCTTCTAGTTCCATTTCTCTCTCAATACTGTCTTATTCTGTGGTACTTGTAAGCCAGCATTTCTTATCTCAGGGTTTGCACAGGGATGCACACACTGTGTGAGCCTTCTGTCAGGCCTGGAGAATTCCCTACAAATCCATTTCCCACAGCTGGGATCATTTCCCACCTGTCTCTGAGGAGCTGCCATGTGTCCCCTGAACATTCTGGCCCTGCAGGTGAGAGTAAACTGAGTTTCTGCAGCTCCTTAAGTGTGGCAACGCTTGGAATTATATTTCATTAAAGAGTGGACACAAAGGTTTAATTTGCAGCAGCAGACTGCACAGTAATCCTCTAACAATTCCTGGGATCTGTTGGGAGGGAAAACTCTCATTAATAAAGATTCTGGTTACAACTCTGTGCTACGTGAGAGTTGCTGCAGAGCTCAGGGCTGCAAGAAATCACATCCAGAAAAACATTCCCTTCATTTTTCTACTCACTCATCAGAGCAGGAGTGGGAAAACCCCCGACAAGCCCACTGCAGCTTTACAGGGTGTTCTGGGCATGCCAGGAGGGATTTGTGAGGGGTGGTCACCACGTTTCAGCTTCACCCATAATGGATATTCCCAAGAAACTGGATTTCAGTTCACCCTCTGATGTTAACGTGAGCTAACCAGAGCTCATCATGCTTTTTGCTTTGTATTTATTTTTTGGATGGGAAAAGTGAACTCATGTGCTCCCAACCCTTCGTCTGTGTGGCCAGTTGCCCACTGCAGTGAAAGAGGCTGAAGCCCAAAATTTCTGCCTTTTCTATAGGGAAAAAAAACGCAAACAGAAAAACACAATATAGTAAAAAACGTCCTGGAAATGGAGAATTAGGAAAGCAAATTTGTACAAAGATGTCTATAAAGCCTAATTCAACTTTTCCAGGAGGAATAGACCAAAGAAAGATAATTATTTAGCCCCTCCTCCAAGGAATATCCCCTTTGCCAGGCAGGACTCACAGCTCTTCAGAGCTTTTTCCAACCATGAGCATTTTGTCACCTGGGAGGGGAATTAAGGCAGCTGAACTTGTGCCCTGATAACCACCCCCAACAACAACAACAAAAAAAACCACACTTTGTTTCCTAATGATGCCCAAAACTGTGATCTTTTGGGGTTATTTTTGTTCCATCTGCCTTTGTCAGCCTGTATCAGTGACTGCTGTGACATGTGGGGGTTATTGCTGCTATCACTGAGCAGGTTGAAGGAGGAATAACGAATGATAGTTATTTATTTACTTATTTTGTTAATGTGCAAAACAAGCCATAAACTCAAAGTCATCCAGTATGAATCTGTTGCCCTTGATTGAGTTAAAGGTCTGTGGACATTAAATTCACACATCACTGACCTTTTCCAGCTGAGTGCTGGGTATTTAAGTTTGAAGCCATCCAACCACAGGCAGTGGAGTGGGATGAAAGCCTTCAGAGCTGGTGTTTGCTTTTCTCTGTGGACTTGGAGGAATGGTAAAAAAAACAGGTCAGACTAAACACAGAGCTCTGACTCAGCTAAAATTGAGGATGATGTGTCCCACTGACAGCGAAGCTGAGATACATCCCACTCTTTCTTTATGGGATCATAAAATCATTAAGGCTGGGAAAGATCTCCAAGATCATCCAGAGGAGTCATTAGCCCAGCAGTGCCAAGGCCACCACTGGCTCATGTCCCCAAGTGCTACATCTACATGGCTTTTAAGTATCTCCAGAGGATGGTGACACAACCACTGCCCTGGGCAGCCTGTGTCAGGTTAACTCTTTCAGTGAAGAAACTTTCCCTAATATCCAAATTAAACATCCCCTGGTGCTAATTGAGGTCCTTCCCTCTTGTCCTGTCACTTCTCACTTGGGAGAAGAGTCACACCTGGCTGTCCCCTCCTGTCAGGAGCTGTGCAGAGCCACAAGATCCTCTCTGAGTCTCCTTTTCTCCAGTCTGAGCCCTTTTCCAGCTCCCTCAGCCTCTCCTGGGGCTCTGTTCCCTTCCCTGGACACGCTCCAGCCCCTCAGTGTCATTCTTGTCATGAGGAGCCCAAAACTGATCCCAGGGTTGGAGGTGTGGTCCCACCACTGCCCAGCACAGGGGACAATTCCCACCCTGGTCCTGCTGGACACCCAATTCCTGAACCAGTCCAAGTGCCACTGCCCTTCCTGCCCACCTGGGCTCACGTTCAGCTGCTGTCACCAGCACCCCCAGGACCTTTTCCAGCCCCTCTGCCTCAAACTGCAGTTTGGCTTGGGGTTGTGAGCACCCAGCTTCTCTAAAAGCTCACAAGAAGTCAGCATCAGCACCATAAATCCAAGATCTTCTGTATTTTGGTATTTAGCTGCTGGACGCTTTTTTCAGAGTTTTGCCTAACATAGATATATTTTCTTTTGGATTGTATGGCAAAAAAATGATATTTTAAAAATTTTATGTATATTTAAGTCTACCTGAGCATGTCACAAGCTCACTTTTCAAAACAAAGCCTCATTTGTTTTTTAAAGGTGATAAAACCAGTTACTCAGAAATAAATATTGGACCATGGAGGTGAATATACAATTATCCAGCTCAGGCATGGGATTTTGGTGAAGGGAAGAAGGGCCAGTCAATTGCTAATGTGCTTGGTGTAAAATCTACTGCCTAAAAAACATTCAGATATATTGTAGAAGTACAGAGTGCTTTGCCAGCCCCGATCAAAGTTAGAGTTTTATGAATTAATTTATAAAGTGAAAACCAGAGGTATTTATAGATGTGAGATGAATTTGGGAAATGTTTCAGTCCAGAGAGTTAAAACTTCCCCTTGAAAAACTCAGAATGTTTTGAAAACATTTCAATCTTTATTTTTCCAGCAAATGTTCAGCAAATCTCTCACGCTTCCCCTTGTGCCTTTCTAAGGTTAAAATAAAATGGCAAGAAGAACTGTAAATCAAAACAAAATAACTCTATGGTATTTCAGATGAGCCAAGATGAAATTTCCAAAGATCTGTTTCCCTTTGGGGAAAATAAATATTTGAGAATGAAGACAACTCCAAATGACTCCCCTTCTTCTAGTGTTTGTATTTTTGTTTATTTTTAATTTGACAAGAAAACCACAATTATTTGTTTATACACTACTAATCAAGGCCCATTCCCAAACTAAAGGAAATTAAAATCTAAACCAGGCATGGCATGAAACAGGGAAGAGAGAAGGATAGGTTAATAGGAAATGGTAAGATTAATGTGTTAAATTATTTTATAGTCTTAACCCAAGTTCACATCAAACAATCGTTCCTTCAAAGGATTGCTGGACTTTTTTTTTTGTCTTAAAACCTTAACTGGCAAATATATCAACAGAGCAATGCATTTTGAAATGAGACAGGAAATTATTTTTGTTTTCCTTATTTATTTTTCTCTGCCTATTTCTGATGAAAATATATGATTATCCCAACACCCTCAAGAGGGGGCATTGAATCAATCACTCCTCCTGTCTCCTCATGATCTGTTCCTGAAATTCACCCCACGGATGTTTTTTCCCACATTACATTTAACAGGGACAGTATAAACTCAAGCCAAGGCTTGGCTCTCTTGACATCATTCCCTTCTCTCCACCTCTTTGTAGTTGGATTTCTGAAAAGTTTTTCCCTTTCCAATCCCTTTAAAAGAGCAGGGAGCAGCCTCAGGTTCTGCCCATAGCAATGGTCAAGTTGTCCCCTCCAAGCTGAGAGTGTGTTGGTGACAAGGGGACACTGAGATATGTGTGAATTCTTTTTTTTGGAGTGAAAATCACCATTTCCATGTTTTATGACTGAAGCAGTTCATGATTTGCACATTATGAGCAGTCCACAATTAATTACCTGAACGTTTGTGGCCGTTGTTGTATTACAAACACAACTTGATTAGGGCTGAATGAAGAGAAACCACTTGAGAGGGAAAAAGCCTTGTCACTGGGAATTTCCTGCTTTTTAGCTCCTTGATCTCCTAATCTGCATCAGAGATTCTGTTCTTATTTGATTTGGGGTTTGTTGTGCTTTGAATTAGTGTGAGAGCCAGGGAATAAACCACGAAGCACAGATCCCACTGCTCCTGGCATAAATATTAAAGCTGCCCTGCCCTACATAGCCTACATTAGCCAGGCAGGGTTCCCAGAGAATAAAGCAGCAGAATTGCTCCTGATCTGTTGGAATCCAAAATGCAGGGAACTTTCAGAAATCTGGGCCTGTAAGCCAAAGCTTAGAATTAAACCCAGGGTTTGATCTGAGACCTTGGAAAAGGCTCCCAAACTTAGGTGGTACAAGTGAGAATGTGGATTTGTAATTTAAAGCAGAAACACATTGGGCTAAGTAAAGTTTAGAGCTTTAGAGTTTAAAATATAGAAAAAATAAAAGTAGTTACAGAGGTAAACAAGGAGTTTAGAATGCAACATTGCGGGTTTGTGTGTCATAACATGATTGGCTAAGAAAGCTCACACTGTAGCATGAGTCCATAAGACTAAATATTTAAGGATTAGGTCAAAACATAAATATTCTTATTGGCAGTGTTTTATTGGTCAATAACTCCTTAAAAGGTCTTATAACTAAGAAGGTCTTGTGACCTTCTGAGCCGTGCTGTAACAATGTGAGCTGAGCTCACTCTTCCTGTCTGTGTAGAAGATAAAAAAATTAACCCACATCATCAAAAACAATTCAGAGGTCCTGTCTCAAATTCCTTCCAAAATTCCTCATAAGGGAATTATCACGCTGATCATCAGAAAAAAAAAAAAAAAAAATAGGTTGTGGGGATTTTTTTAAAGAAATGGAGGGGAATGCTGATTTTTCAGCAGGCTCTGGGTTGCTCTCCCTCCTCTTGAGCGAACATAAGATAAGGCTGGGTGCACATCTGTGCAATGGTCCTGGAGAGCTCCAGCTTGCTCCACGAGGCCATGAATGTCCAGGAATGCCTCCCTGAGGATGGGATTTGCTCACTGTGTCCTTCTGTGCCCTCCCTGCAGGCGTCCAGCACGCGGCCCGAGTGCAGCATCATGCAGGAGATCGAGGAGGAGCGCAGCCAGTGCCTGGCAGAGCTGACCTGGGACAACCAGACCTCAGGTATGGCAACACTTCTGTCCTTCCCTGGCCAGCAAACCTGTCGGAATCTGTGGTATTGATGATCCCAAGATTGTAAAAAGTCTCTGTCTGTCAGCCCCGCTGCCAAAGCAGAAGCCATAATTCCTCTGTGCTGGTTTCAAGGTTGTTTATTCTGTTTATCTCTAACATGTTCTGCTGCCCTGCCACAGCTCTGTCCTGCAGGGCAGCGTGTGGGGCTCTGCCCTCAGTGGGATGGCACAAACATTAAATACCACAAACTACCTGTGCTGGATTTACAATAACGTGCCAATATCTGTCACCTACGTTGGACAGTGTGTCCCCAGCCTGAACCAACAGAAAAATGCCAACACCACAGTGAAACATGGAGGGCATGAAGAAGGAGAAAAAGGACAAGACACACCCAATTTCCTCCATCTTGTGCCCTTTGGATCCCTAATCTAGAATCCTAAAATTTTACTTTTGCACCCGTGCCACACTTAATTATTACTTATATCAAACACTCAGAGCTGGTAATTCATCTTGTAAGATTGAAAACTCTTTTCCATGGACAGAGATCACAGACAGTGGATCTCGGGGCTCTGTCCAGGGGGGTTCCTGACCCCCTGCCAGGGTCCCAGACCTGCCAGGGCAGCCAGAGGGATGCCCTGGATTCCCACACAAACCCACGTCCCCCAGCCTCACAGCTGCCTTGTCCTGGCCATTTCCCAGCCCTTCTACTGCTGGAGCAAGGATTCCTCCAGCTGCTCTTCAGGAGGGAGAGAAATAGGTGCTTCCAAAGTCAGCCAAGAGTTCCAACATCTCTGCAGGTTCCCTTGCAGCCTCCTGGCTGGAAATGCCTGAGTGAGGTGTTTCAGTGGGTTTAATCACAGTTGTCCACCTCCCTGAACTGGAATTTTTCCAGTTTTTCCTTGGGAATTGAAAGCCAGAAGTTCTCCAATGTCTTGGATCACTCTGAGGGAAGTCATTGTGACCATCTCCTTTGATTTAACTGGCTTCCCTTCCCTATGCCAAAACTGCTCCTGTCCTGGGAGTGAAGCAGAGGGTGCTCCAAGGCTGTGAAGTATTTCTGGAGTTGGGACAGGCAGCTGAGATCCTCTCTGTGGCAAGCACATTTCTCTCCCTCTCATGATTTTCATAGAAGTACACACAGAGAAATGAAAGAGAAAACAATTTCTATTTCTGCTCCTTGTTTTTCCTATGTGGAATGTGTTTGGAGAATTGTTTACCTGGGGTGAGTGCTTGGTTGGATTCTGGTGAGGATTGTTTGAGCCTGGTGGCCAATCCAACCCACCTGGGGCTGGACTCTCAGAGAGGGTCATGAGTTGTGTTAGAGTCAGAGAAAGTAGTATGTAGTTTGAGTATCCTTCTTTTATACAGTATATTAATGTATTTTAGCATAGTTATAATAAAGAAATAATTCAGCCTTCTGAATTGAGTCAGACATCATCATTTCTTCCCATTTGGTTCACCTACATTTGCAATACCTCTCCTTGTTCAGGGAGCACTCACCACACTGAGATATCCCCCTGGAAGGGTCTCCAGTCTCCTTAACCCTCTTCCTGCTTCAATGATCAGGAAATGAGGGAGGTTTTGGTGCTGCCCCATCCCATCCAACCCTGTCCTGCAGCAGAGCTGTCAGAACCCCAAATTAAGGCATCTAGTTGGATCTCTCCCCCTCCAAATGCCTTTTCAAGTTACCAACTCAGTGTCTGTCAGCAAAAGGTGTTCAGAGACTCAGGTGAGACTTCCAGGATCCAAAAAGCAGGGATCATTTTGCTGGGAAAAGGGCTGGGAAGATGAATCTGAACTCCTGCTTGAGATTTGCATCCCTCCTCCCAAAAGAGGGGAAAGTGGAAGAGGAAACTCTACATTGGCAATGTTTGCAGCCAGGCAACAGAGTGAAGGGCTGAGCTGATGGAGCAGAATCCTGGGACGAGCTGATCCCAGGAGGAGCTTCTCTGGATGCCAGGAAGGCTTTTAGCCCCTGCTCTTATCTACTGAGGGATGGTTGTCTTTGATTTGGAAGCTGTTTCAAGTGCCCCTGTACAGTTAAATGGAGCCTTTTGAAGAAGTGCTCTTCTGGAATCCATTGAAGGGAGAACTCAGGGTGGATAAAAAGCTTAATCTGAAAGCCAGCTAAATGCTTCATAAATGCTTCATTTCATTTTCATGGATATTTAAAGAAATTAAATTAAATATAATACGTTAAAAGGAGAAAAATTTGTTGAAATGATTATGCTTTTTTTTTTTTGCTTTTCTAAAATGATTTTTCTCGTTGGAAAGTATAATCCAAAACAGCTTTTTTTTTTGTTTTCCTTGTAACAAGAGAATTAAACCATTGGAAGTATTTTTCCCAATTCTGAAGTAAAGACACACAGCCATGTTGCAAGTCATTAATACCCAAAGCAAGTATATGGCAATCCTTTGGAGGCTTTTTTTCCTTGATGGAATGCTGAAATATTGGACTGGGATAAAGCTGCATTTCCACCAGTCACTTCTGGTGAATTGGACTGATTCTGAAATTGCAGATTTAAGCACAGGAAAATGGCTTTGTCCATGGAGACAGTTCTGCAACTGGAATGACAAGGGGGAATGGCTTCAAACTGAAAGAGTGCAGGTTTAGATTGAATATTAGGAAGAAATTCCTTCCTGAGAGGGTGGGTAGGCCCTGGCACAGGGTGCCCAGAGAAGCTGTGGCTGCTCCTGGATCCCTGGAAGTCTCCAAGGCCAGGCTGGACAGGGTTTGGAGCAACCTGGGATGGTGGAACTTGTTCCTGCCCATGGAAGATGATCGTTCAAGTCCCTTCCTTCGTGGAAAGCATTTGGCATCCATTTACCCCAAAACATCAGCAGGTATTTAGGAGCTCAGTACCTGACTTTATCATCCAGACACTCACAACTGCCCTGGAGGTGACAGAACAAAACAGATTTGTTGTCTCTTGAATGGGCGACTGTAGATGAGTGCATGGAGAGCTCTGTTATGTGCTGTGTGCACAGATAAATTTCCAAATGCCTCCACAGGATGTGTTTTCCCTTCAGAAGTGTTCACAAGTAGATCAAGGAATGTTTTTTTTCTGGAGTGGGACTCCATAACTCAGTAAGTGTGGCTGAGCTGTAAAATCAGACTTTGAACTTTGATGGGTGGGGGCAAGGGGGGAGTTTGTTGGAGAGAAATCTCATGAAGGTGATGATATGAGATCGTATGAAGGTGATGACTGTTTCATCTGAGTGTTGCTGGGAAGGGAAATCCTACTAAAACTGAGAGGGAAAACATGATTTTAACCCAGTTCCATCCCCCAGAACAGGAGGATGGAAAGCAATTGAGGCTCCCTGTGATCTGCAGTGTTAAACTTTGATTTATGGCCAGGTGGTTGTGTTGCCTTCTGTAATTCCCACCCTTTTCAGGAACAGGAGAATCACTTGAGGTTTAATGAGCAATTTGTTATCCTTTCTAATCAAATGAGTGGAAATAAACACAGTGTCTGGGTACATTCTGGAAAGAAAGCTTTGTTTAGGAGCCATTATCAATTGTATTGATCAGAGGGGTTTAATCACAGCTGTAATTTGATGTGTCAGGCAGATTAGTCACTTGTTGAGAGCACTTGATGGTGCTGAGGTTGATCACTGGCTTGGGTTAAGCAGGTAGTTTTCTACTGATAAACAATAACATTATTCTTAACCCTCTTTTTTTTTTTTTTTTTTTTTTTTTTTTTTCTTCAAACTCCCACCCCTTCCATACAGGGTCTGAACATGCAAGAAATCCAGATTGAATTTCTTCCTTCACTGGAAGTGTCCAAAGACAGGTTGGACAGGGCTTGGAGCAACCTGGGATACTGGAAAGTGTCCCTGCCTTGGCAGGGGGTTGGAAGGAGATGATCCATGTAAATCTATTCCATTTTAGGGTGTGATTCAGTATCTGTGGATTTACCCATCTCTGAGGAAGTTTGACAATTGCACTTGATAATTTAAAGGTCTCTTCCAACCCTGATGATTCTGTGATTCTACAGTCCAGGGGTCACTAAATATTGCCTTGTCGGAATCTGTGGGTATTGATGATTCCCAGATTGTAGAAAGTCTCTGTCTGTCAGCCCCGCTGCCAAAGCAGAAGCCATAATTCGTCTGTGCTGGTTTCAAGGTTGTTTATTCTGTTTATCTCTAACATGTTCTGCTGCCCTGCCACAGCTCTGTCCTGCAGGGCAGCGTGTGGGGCTCTGCCCTCAGTGGGATGGCACAAACATTAAATACCACAAACTACCTGTGCTGGATTTACAATAACGTGCCAATATCTGTCACCTACGTTGGACAGTGTGTCCCCAGCCTGAACCAACAGAAAAATGCCAACACCACAGTGAAACATGGAGGGCATGAAGAAGGAGAAAAAGGACAAGACACACCCAATTTCCTCCATCTTGTCCCCTTTGGACCCCTTATCTAGAATCCTCAAATTTTACTTTTGCACCCGTGCCACACTTAATTATTACTCATATCAAACACTCAGAGCTGGTAATTCATCCTGTAAGACTGAAAACTCTTTTCCAAGGGCAGAGACCACAGACAGTGTCTCTGGGGGCTCTGTCCAGGGGGGTTCCTGACCCCTGCCACGGTCCCAGACCTTCCAGGGCAGCCAAAGGGATGCCCTGGACTCCCACATTGCCTGACTCTGATGAGGAGAAGTTTATTTAATTTGTTTCCCAGCACAGGAAACACTGCAGAAGATGCAGTGAGGGGGAAATCCACAGGGAAAAGCAGTTGAAGCTGTCAGTGAGTACAGAGGAGAACCAAACAGCACCAAGATCAAAGTCTGGGCTTTTGAGGAAGTTGGTAACCATCAGAGGACACCCAACAGTCTCTCTGCAGGTGTGCAGGAAGGAGAATTTTATGGCCTGGTGGCAGGGCTTGCCCAGTTTCTGGAGGGGTGTGTGGGGTGCAGTTGTGTTGCAGCACAGGGCTGGGTTTGGTGAGCAGCACTGGCCTCGCATTCCTCTGCTCTGTGTTCTTCC